TTTATATTCTGTTGAAAAGGACTCTCAGAGTGACCCCTATTAATCACTATCAGTCAGAAGTTTAGATTTTTTTTTTGACTGCACTTATTTGATCAGACAGTAAAAATATTATTTACAATAACCTCAAAAGTTATCTCCGACTATTTTAGGCTTCTTAAAACTCCTTAAAATCCACAATTTAAAAAGTAATGTTGAAATTGGTTTGAAATATTGCTCAATCTTTATTCTTATTGTATTTCATCCCACTATCTCTGATGCAGTGAAGCAACTCTCCTCCGTATAATGCCGATCATGGCCACGGCAGCAGCGAGAGCACATGGTCGTGAGACCCGTGCCACTTTCATTAAGTTCTCCACTATACAGACCCTTCATGTCAGCATGCACCCTGCCCTGAAAGCCACCCCTGGCCTACTGGGCCTGTCGTGCCCTCAGACGTGACGCTCTCTCAACACCAGTGAGGAGGCCAAATGAGGCTGCATAACACTGCTACTCTAGAGAGGGAAAGAAATGCTGAATATGGCCAGTCAGGAGGATCGTGTTGCACTGGAAATCAGTGAACATCAAAATGCCTCTGGAGAGCTTGTTACTCTATTTGTGCTGAATTGTTTTCTGTAACTTTTTATAGTAGTCTTAAGTCATTGGATGTAAAATGAAAAAGAAAAGTGTGTATTTATGTCTTTGTAGCTTTTAAGTGTTTATCAATGCTGTGGTGAAAAATTGATATACTGGAATATGGTGTCTTATGAAATTAAAGCACTTTGAAACATTTAGTTTTTAAGTGTGTTTGCAAATTTGGGATTTCCAAGTATATTTTAAAATTGTGAAAAATAAAAATGAACTGTCTTCACAAACCGCAATGGAAATTCTATTTCTTTCCACACAATGATTTAAATTCCTTTTTTTCCTTTTTCCCTTCTTTCATGCACATGTTTCAGTGCACTCCACTTTTCATGTGATACTCTCTCAGCAGGGGCATCATGTGCAAGGTTGCCAGATCTGTATGTTAATATCGGATTAAATGGACTCTTATTTTACATTATGCATTTTTTCCCAGTTGTAGGTCGATTACATAAGGTACATGACGCCCTAAAAATAATTTAAACAAAGGGCCAGGCAAGATGACATCACTATCGCTGGATTTAACTAAAAAGGGCTTAAATGGTGATAGGCTTGTAGCGTTAAGTTTGTGTTTGACCTGTTCTAGCTGCTGTCAGGGCTCAGTTTGCCTGTAAAGATTACGTTTCATACACTTAAAAAAAAAAAATCATTATTCTACATTATGTGAAAAATCACGAAAAGGTATGTTCATTACGCCGGAAAATATGGACTTGGCAACTCTGTGTATGTCTTTATGACGTCACCTGAAAAGAGCGCAATTTTTCATTGGGCGTCTGTGCACAGTACCGAACATGTGCGCGCAGCTCCTCTGCTCTTCTCCTCACATGTCCGCGCACACACGCGCTGCGAGAACCACGTGGCGCTGTAGTAGAACAGCTGACCTCGCGAGCGCCGGCACATTTTACAGGCGCGTGGGAGAGACGAGAAGATTTCACTAGCGTTTCCCCCGCGCGCCTTGATTTCTCCGGAGTTTTGCTCCATAGTTTAGTCTGACGCGCATATTTCTTTGACTGCCATTATGTTTCACTCATTGCACTCTTATCGTTTGCATTCATCAGTTCCGTTCCCCACTTGTCCTTTTATAATGGCCAGAATGATAATTAGTAATCTAAATGCACTCATAAATGATTGTCAATAGTAAAAAAAATCGTTATGGTAATGTATTGGTTCTTAACAGCAGCAACCAGATAACTATAACCTTTTGATATGGATATTTATTTCTACATGAATTGTGTTAATGTAAAATCTTTGTAGAATTATTGTACATTTTGATTAGCCTACGTTGTTCGAATCGGATAATGCTAAAATATTATAACTGTAAGCACGTGCAATAAAGGTAATTAAACACTTAATGGCAAAAAGCAACAAAAACAAAATATAATGAATAATTGTTATGCTGCAAGCAGGGGCATCAGACAGGGCGTAATAGTGGAAATGAGTAACAGGGGCCCTTTGGCGAGGGTATATACTGATTATTATTATTAATATGATTGATAAGGTGTGTTTGTGTGACGGGGGGCCCAACATTTGGTGCGACGCCCACGCCCCTGGCTGCAAGCAGTGATTTATATGTGGCCAAAACCAGCACTTCTGCCACTTATTAAGAGTACAACCTTGATGGCTTTTTGGGGTTCAAACCTAAAACCTTTTGGTGTCCACTCTACTTTGTCTTAGGTCATATTGCATTGAATTAGCAGCATCCAATCTGACAATCCTTTGTGACTTGACTGACACCAACTGACATAAAACATAAAAGCTGTAATATCACACTTTGCCCTGCAATGATAAGTGTTAACTGCTCATATGCTTCCTGTATTTGACTCAACAGATAGTCAGTGGTCAGGATTACAAAACGGCTAACACATGGACAGCCAAATGTAGTCACACTAATGCGTGGTTTCTTCGCCACTCCTCCTCTTGTTATGTTTCGTGTCCGTTCAGTCTCGTCCTGTCAGACCGTCTCGTTTCTCTTCTCCACGTGCCCTTGCGTCACTCGTGTTTGGGGCGGGATTACGTGGCGTGCCAACCACCCAAATGGGCGTGCCCCAAGCATGCGGGGCGGGGCTTACTGCAGGTGGAGTTGCCAGTCTGCAATTTTTGAAGTAGGGGCTGGAGGAGGTTAAACAACCCGAGCTGGAAACGATCAGAAAAAGTGCAGGCAAAAGTAATGTGGCTCGGTTACGCTGGGTGGTCATCCTTGTCGGCGAGATGACGGGAGGTGCAGATTGCCCCTGGACAGGTAGTTAGGAGTGTGTGCTCCCCTGGACAGAGAAGAGCCGAATACTCGGGACCAGGATCAGTGTTGTACATAAGGTAGGTACTTACTCTGTGAACAAATGCTGTCTTGTGCTCTGTAGCTGCTTATTTTTGCCCATTTGCACTGATAGGTTATCTGTCTGACGGGATATCGTACGGTCCATCTTTATTTGCACGTAAAGGTTGTCTATGCAGGTGGTAAAGCACGTTATTTGTGGCGTCAACAGGAAGAAGTAGAGACTGAGCTCGCCCGTTGTTGTAGTATTACATAACAGTCAGGGAAGGGAGGGCTCAGAGCTCCGTGTGTGTGAGTGTGTGTTTAAGTTTGTGTCTAAATAAGTAACCTTCCTCCTGGCAGGATAATTCATGTCACAGACCTTCCAAGAACTAGTCTATGAAATATTCGGTGAGACTTTTTGTGCTCGTGAAACTTAATTTTTTTTTTTACAAGAACAGCTGACAGTGTAATATGTTCGGAGACAGTTACGTGAGATACAGTAACAAAATAATTAAAGCTTCTTTGCGCCTTTAAAAATTTAGAAAAAAATGTTGTCGACTGAAGAAACAAAAAACACTAAAGCAAAACGAAGGGCTAAAATCACTGTAACATACGATATGTGGCATACTGCTTTTATAAACAGATGGAATGGCATTATGACAAAGCACAATTCAATAATAAAATGATGAAAATTGTGATTTTTTTTAATGAGAGTAGTAATAGTTCCATTAATAATGACAGTGAGAATGAACAACGAATAAGTTCCTACAATAAGTTTGAAAAATATAACCATGTGGTGCTTTCAAGTTTTATTTATTTTTGTCATAACTACGCCATGATGAAAAAAAAAAAATAACATTTTAATTATATTTTGTTAAAATGAACGAAATGACTCGAAAAAAGATTCGTTCATTTTGCTGAACGAGACTCAAAGGTCCGAGTCGGTAAAATGATCCGAACTTCCCATCACTAGTTATAAAATGGAGTGGAATGGATTTTGCCAAGAGATCACATGGCAAACGTTCCAGAATTCCAGAGCAATGATGGCAGGATTTATTAGCATTTATCAGTCTTTTACAGCAGCAAGCACAATTAATCCAACCAGAAATTAGAGTTTGATGTATCCGATCTGTAGTTAAAGTGTCTTTGACCTTTTATAAAATGCCTTTTATGTGCACTAATATATTGGTAAAAAACTATCATCAAGTACTCCACTTGTCTGAATTGTTGGTCAATGAGAATACATTTTTTCAGTTGTAGAGTCCTTTGCTCAAGTGTTTGTCTGCTTTTTAAGTTGAAAAGATGATTAATACGTGAAACACATGGCACAGGCTGGGGATGGCAATAAACATTGTAATTGTAATACATTGTGTATTAGCAGTGAGTTCAGTGTGTACATGTATACAAAATGTATGTGTATAGTCACTTAATGTTCAGGCGTGTTTTGTGTTCTCTTTGTGCCTTAGTCATTTTTTTGTACAGTAGCTCTGAATACACTGTAATTCTCATGACAGAAAAAGCTTGACTCATTCCAAAA